CCCTACACCACAAAACTAATCAAACCGCTACAGAAACTTCAATGCACAAGAAATAAATTAAAAATACAAACAATTCAAGAATAAGAACGATCTAATTCTTCGCTGCAATCGAAGAAGCGAAATGGCACAGCGGGTTGGTGAAAGCCTTCGAGAAGCCAGTCAGCTGATGTGTCTTCTCCCGATGAAATCAAGAATAAGAATGAGGACGTTGAATGTCTTTACAGTGTACGAGACTGTGAAGGCTGCTCAGGTAGCCACTGAAAATGTGCAGATATGGCATACAAGTGCTGGGTATCTGCGAGAGCAGATGGAATGGATGTGGATTGTTAAAATTGCCAGCTGGAGAGTCAGTAATCTACTCCGGTCACCCAGGCGACAATCACGAGCACACTGAGTCAGTGAGTGGTTATAATGATGTCAGTTCTTCCATACGCATCAGAAACGTGGTCTGCGTGTCACGAAAAATATTTCCAACAATTTACAGACTTTTATCAATGGTTACCCATCTCTCTCGTTGCATACTGAAGATCAAATGGCCAGTGGAAACAATTAGCAACAAGAAACTCTGGCTGAGAACAAACCAACCTAGAGCCGACCGCTCAACAAATATGTAGGAGAAAATGGAGATGGATTCGGCGTACGTTGAGGAGGCCGTCGAATGACATCGCATGCAGTGCAGACTATCGCTAGAGTGGAATCCAAATAAGAAGCAACGAGTGGGTGGTGGATGCGAGGATGACATGGACGAGATCGTAGGATGCAAGCAGGAGATCAGAGATTATCTGCAATCGTGGACCCGGATGAAGAGGACAGCCTAGAAGCAAACAGATAGTGAATTGCAAAGTTAGTTGAAACATCCAAGTAGGTATCAATATTTTAATTAGATTATCCAGGACGGATTTTCGAAACAATTATTTCTTTTGCAATTATGTTGTAAAATTTGACCAGATGTATGGCTTTCTCATGCAACTTTAATGTTACTGTGATTGCTGTTCGTTCCTTGTATTTCAGATGAAAAATAGAGCCTCACTGGCGCGTCTCCTATTATACTCAGTTCTCTTTCATCACTTTCAGGTGGCTCTATGATTGTTCACAAGCTTTCATTTCCTCTGCACACGTTATCTACTTCATATCACCCTCGAACCTTTGCCGAACCCATCACTCCCTATTTGGAGTCCACTTAGATTGATAATTCTCAACATCATTTGAATCCTATTCAGTCAGTCAGTCAGTCAGTCAGTTAGTCAGTCAGTCAGTCAGTCAGTCAGTCAGTCAGTCAGTCAGTCAGTCAGTCAGTCAGTCAGTCAGTCAGTCAACTTCTGGTATACCTAGACTGATCACGGCAATCTAATGAGGTACTAGTAGGATGAGTAATAATCATTCAAGCTTATTTAATCCAGATAAACTGTAAAAAATGAAAGCTGAATTCATCCTTAGTTGAACACCGTTTTGGTCTGCATAACTAACCTTGTTAAACGCTTGATATAGACTTAGAGATTAAAACCTTTTTTGATGTACTGACTTTGTTTCTTATCTTAACACTCGATTCACTTATGGCGTAATTCACCATTGATTACAGGATTTCTGTAAATATGTGGCATGTGCTACTGGTAAATTTCATCAGTAGTATATAAAGAGACCTTCATCAGGATAAAAATATCAGATAGCAGATAGACAGTTTTAATGTCAGAGATAGCAAATGATTCAGTGTTGCAGAGATACATGGGTGACGTGAAAGGAACACAAAGAAACACAAAATGAAGGAATGGCAGAAGTTGCACAGCACGGAAGATCTGAGCAAATGGTGCTTTGAAGATAAAGTGTACATAATTTCTCTGTATAGCTATACCAAATTTCAGACATTTAATCCTTTACCAAGTTTCTTATCTTCTATCATTACGAATGCATGACAAAAATGAACACTTTATTCCTGTTATATTCACCTAGTTTTGTCTTAAATCTTAAACAACTGTTTTAAGCATTTATCGCGCACTGATGTGAGCCCTTGGTTTTTCCCTCTGTTTGAATTGCCGGATTCCTACAGATTGTTAATACTTTTAATGCGTCAGTGAATTATTGCATTTTCAGGGTCATTCTAACTGTGTATAACACGCAGTTTCTATCTAACACTTTGACTGTTGTTTAATACAGTAAAAGCTTTCTTGTCGACATCCAGTCTTTTCTTTGGTGTTTGTGTGCCCGCAGTGTTACTGTTGTTGTTGTTGTTGTTGACGTGCGATTAGGACAGATTAGCCACCACATTAAGTTAGTATTCGCTGATCGTAGTTCCGGTCATAACACTTCCACCCAACTATTTTACATAAAAGAAATTTTCAGCCTTTTCAAATTCCAGGAAACAAAAAAGCTAATTGGTGGATGGTGACTAGCAGTGGAATCCAGGATGCGCATTTCGTCCTATTTGGGACTCATCGTCTGGATGTACTCCTTTATAACATAAATCAGATAAAATATATATATATATATCAAATAATTACAAAGTTTACATTTTGTGCTAATTAATATACACAGCAAGTTATTTGATTATACGACTTATCGCCATTCACTATGTGATATTTTCTTCTCTAGAATTTATGGTGAACATAAGAAAAAGTTGATAAATTGAAATAAACTTTTGGAAATTCGATGACATCCTTTTGGTTCATTGAAAGAAAAGAATTCGGACGGAAGGTACATCTTTGATGATTCTACTGCTAGTCACTATCAACCAAGATAACATCGCGTTTATCCTCAACCATCATTGAATACTGCTCAATCTTTCTGTTTTCCAAATGTCTAAATGGGGATGTTTTCTATATTTAGGAACCGTTCAGACAACAGAGGCAAGGAATATCGCTCGGAACAATCAGTGCGGAAAAACAAATAGTTGTCTTTTCCTATAATAGAATGAAATTATCAGTTAGATAAACAGGGTTACTATGACTGACATTGCAATGCAAACTTACATAATGAAGAAAGTAATGCATGAACGCATTGATTCACTAACATAACCACCAGTGAGAATTATTTATATTATGAAAATCTGATAATGTAAATAAAAAATCATCAGTGTGTTTGAAAATCTAAGCAATAACAAAAGAATTACCCTGTTCAGTCGAACGTATATTAATTACTTCAAAAAATACGCCTATTGTTTTTGTTAGAGTCAATCAGTTATATGAAAGCTCCTATTTCGCGTACTAGGAATCAACATATCGATGTAAGACGAGCATTCCTGTCGAATAAGTCAACGAGAAAATAAAAATAATGACTGGTAACCCCGTGAACAAAAGGTAAGTCTCATGATCAATTCAGTCTAGTAGGTAATGCCTTACCGCTTGAAACGAATCGCATTAAGAACAGCATCCATCATTGATTGGGGATTGCACAAGCACCCAATTGATGACGAGTCCCAAATAAGACGATATACGCACCTGGAGGTAGATTCTGCTCCTAGTTACCATTCCGCATATAACAGAATAAGACAATATTTGAATAATTGTTACTTTTACTGTTTTTATTATTATTATTATTATTATTATTACTGATAATTAGCAACGATAATATATTACATGGTTTTTGTCATTATTTATGATTACGTGTTTTTCCCTCCTTCTCCTCCTCCTGGATGAACAAACAGATGCTTTGTGTTGCATGACCTTCATTCTACTCCTTTCCACATAATTAATACTAAGCACAAAATGTGTGTGTGAGTGTGCATAGGTGTGTATAATCAAAAGGTGATAAGTATTAAAAATATTTACAAGAGTTTAATGACAAGCATATTATAATAATCAAGCATAGTAATGAGTATCATTAAAAATACATATGAATAATTTTGGCATTATTTTATGTAATAATAATAATAATAATATTAATAATAATAATTGTATGAGAAGAGGAAAAAGAAGGATTCTTTCCTGTTTTGTTTTTTTAATAAATAATTTATCATTTGATATAGATTCTTCATGCGAGAATAATAAATTCTTCATAATTCGGTAAAGTATTTCAAAAACAAAACAAATTTTTTATGAACATATATATGAGGAAACTGTAAAGCCTTAAATTCTGTGTACCAATTAAGCAGACAAATAAAAGGCCAAGAGGAGAGACAGGCAGGCAGACAGGCAGATAGATGTGGATCGATCAATAAAAATAGACAGTTGGTTAGTAGATTGATTGATTAGTTGAATCATATATATATATATATATATATATATATATATATATATATATATATATAGTTTTTATAATAGTAATACAAATAAATGCCTTGAATTCATTGAGACGGTTAACTAACTAACTAATATTGATCTTGTCGAATGGTAAACCTCTTCTCTTCTTCTACTGCTGCTGGAGCTGCTGCTGTTGCTGTTGATGATGATGATGATGATGATGACAGTCATGATAATATTAAAATTTAGCGATAGTAGATGATATGAAGAGAATGAGGTGAGTAGGAATTGGCAGAAGAATGTTCCCCTTCAGAAATTACATAACATAACGAATGAGAGCACTTCAGATTTTGAAACACATACAGACTTAGAGATTAAAATAAAAAATTTTCAAAAGAGTTAACACGATGGTGTGAAAAGGAAATAAACATGATGAGGCAAATATGAAGAATAAGTGAGAATGTAACATGATTTATGTATATATATATATATATATATATATATATATTATCATGGTCTGATTAATACTCGAAAATATTTGCATTTTTCAATCATTGTATTACTCAACAGTTGACTTTCCTTTTAGTAAACGGATACCATTTTTGTTAACTGAAATAAACCCAGATAAATTTGGGCTTTAGGGAATGTTTACGAAAAATGTCAACGCTTTATTATTATTATTATTCAACCCTAGTAGTGAAGGAGGGAATTAGAACAGCATGGTACATGTGTTGGTTTTTGTTCTATATAAGAAAATAAGTGAATTAAATTGATATTATTCAATGGTAAACAGGAAAAATGGAATGGAACAATTTGTGTTTTCGCCATTTATTCAACTGGATCATCTGCCAATAGCATAGCCTTAAGTTGACTGTCTTCCATGCAACCTTTCATAAATTCTTCACGTGTTAACACACCATCACCGTTTTCATCCATTTTCTCGAAAATTTCTTCAGCTCTAGCCTCAGGGCTTATGTCTACAGCTGTATTGTCTGTGCCAAGCATTGAATAAATAGCCTAATGGTAAAATAAAACCGCAAAAAGGTATACACATGTATGAAAATAGGAAGAGACAGAATTATTTGAAACAACTTTGAATGTGAAATAGTTAGTTAGTTCTCTTCGATCAAACAATAGGAAAAAATCCACCCGAAACATGTTATGCATTCGCACACTGCATATCGAACAATCTAATCACATGCGTTAAAGGGTTTGAGATGCATTGTTGGTTCAGTGGTAGAACACTCACCAACCAAGCAAGTAGTCCGGAGTTTGATCACTCTGGCCGACACCCCACCCGCCCTCAAACCTTGCTTCGTCCGTAGAAAGCCGAGTAAAGAGAGAAAGCTGGGCAACCCCATCCCGTATGAAAAAACATCACTGCTACTGCAAATTCAAAGCTGTAGCTAGAAGTTCTATGTTCCCCTGGAAACCCAAAGGAATAAAGTAATGATAATCATAATAATAAGGCGTGAGAGAATAGACATAGGTCAAAGTGAAAATGATGCCGGCCAATAAACCAATGAAGGGAGATAATAATCAATCTCTCCTGATATCAAAACAAAGTTTACCAAGGAATGTGTATGCTGACGACAAATTTTTCTCTTGGGTCATATAAAAGTTGTTCACAAGCGATTTGGATCCTCTGGACCCATTAATGATGAAAACAGACAAACGTAGCTCTTCTATTGCATATTATAGATCAATGGAATAAAATTGATTCCTACATTACCTTTAAATCTATTTATAAAACGTGTTGGAAGTGTATTGCTAAAGTTTGTGAAAGCCCTGGCTGTCGGGAAGTTCAACCCAACTTAATGTGCGCAAAAGAAAGAACAATTTGTCATCCCATTAAACCTTCTTTGGTAAACTTTATTTTCGATTCCAGGGTAAATGTACTATTATATCCCTTCTCTGGACTATTGATCTCCATTGTCATTTTGACCTTCAATATAGTCGTTTAACTTGATTTATGTCTATTCTGTCATTCCTTAACGCGTTGTCATTTTTTAAATAAATCCCAGTGACAAGTGCATGTGTGTTCGTTGTGTTAGGCAAATTTATTTCATTATTCAGATAAATCACTACTTTTCAATATGTTGAAATCTGTGGGGTAGACAGTTGGAAAAATGAAATAATAAAGAATTCATTAAAATAAATCTTCATAGTAGGTGGATAGCAGACATTTATGAGTTTTCTAGTCACGAAATTTGTTCTATACACTTACTTATCAAAGAAAGCATAATGAAAAAAAGCTTAGATATTAAATAGGACATCTAGTAATAATCCCTTACCAAAACTGTAGACATACTTTTGACATCTTTAGTTCTTTTTATAAGGACAATTTTTAAGTGATTACATATATATGTAAATGTTAAAGTACCAAATTATGCTAAAAATTTACTAACAGGGTAATGCGTCACTACCAAGTGATGTTGCTCATAATGATTGTGATGGTGGTGTTGGTGTCGATCGTAGTGGTTGTCATGATGATGGTGTTGTTGTTGGTGGTGGTGGTGTTAAAAACGAAAGGTTGAAATAAAATTTTAAGTTAACTGATGAGTAACTGATTGACTTGGTCAATCATCATGTCTTACCAGAACTTCAGAAAACCCACCTGAAAGCAAGTCAAAAAATGAGTAATGGACTGTTTGTGATTCAATTTAGGAATTTGTAGACAACTTACGGATTTTGAGCTACTTTTTTTCTAACACATAGTCATTTCATTGTAGGTAGTCATTGAAGAAAAAAACACTAGAGGTAAATGTTTTGTCCTGGTCTGAGATTCTTCAGTAGCAGACAGTCAGGATTGCGTGTCAAATCGAATTCAGAATCAATAAATCTTGTGAGGAAGGCTCAGTCGTTTAGCTAATATGAAGACAATCGGTGGATAGAAACTAGCAGTGGAATCCAGGATGTGCATCTCATCCTATCTGGGACTCGTCACTGAATGTACATGCACCAGCCACTGAGTGATGGCTTTCCCAGTGAGTTTCGAAAGCAGTGCCCATAGTTTCAAACGCCAAAGCGTTATCCACTAGACCACTTGAGCCAGGACAGCCACCTTTTGTGCAATCGTTATCAGTTATCATTTGTTTAAGTCAATTTCCCAGTTGAATGATCAGACTGCAATGTTCAGAATAACTCTTTAGCATTCGAAACGTTGAGTACGCGGTTCCAGCCTCAGTGGGAACACCATCACTCGCTAGGGAATGCAGATACCCCGGGCTGGCGAGTCCAAGATGGGACGAAATGTGCATCCTGGCTCCCACTGCTAGACACCATCAACCAAATAATGAGATATCAGCTTTCTAGCTATTTACTACAGAAATTAATAAGCGTTCTCATTTATGTTTATCTCTTTATGACATGACAAAATCTGTATGAGTCCCTTCAAGTCCTACTACGATCCGTATTTAGAATTCCACCCTCAATCGTCACCAATCAATTACAGTCTACTAACTCAAAGTTATTTCAGGTAGTCCCACCACCTGTTAACACCCTACTCATCTCTGCCTAATTCATTTCAATTGGGATTGATGGGAGAACACCTAGCTGGACAGAGTAGTATAATGATAAACACACAGTAGTGTATCACTCATTCATATAACAACTGGGTATTGTGTGTGGTGGCGATTCCAGTGGAGTGATGAATTAATTAGCAGTTGAATCTCGTAGTCCAAATGTTGGAATTCTGAGGCTACAAGTTCGATCCGGATTTTCAGGACAGGAGAGGCAAAATATACTACGGAGATCAGAGTGACTGTTAAATAGCAAGGTCATCCAATACACGCACGCAGTTACATGTTAGATGCTTGAAACCGGAAATTATATCATCAGCAGTTTGTAAGTTAATTACAATTTAGAAAGAAAGGGTGTACGAATTTCTTGTAATCATTTAAGAAAACTTAAATAACAAGAGGTCAGACGAATTATTTGAAATAGTACTAAGAATAATAAGGATAATACAAATACTGTAATAATAAAAAAAAAATAATAATAATAGTAAACATGTTAGTAAATAGTTAGAAGGATAGCAGCGAATGTCATTTGTAACATTCAGCGCATCCCTGGGGATGGGAATTGCTGTACAAATTCATTTCGAACACACTGATCTCACCTACTGAAGTGAATTCTAAGTGTCTTGGTTTGTGTCCATCTTCAAAGCTGAATCCTGACGATTCTACACATATAGACACTGTAAACAATTGATGAAACAAGAAATATGACATATGATGATACCTATGCAGCCACTTTTTCCGTTCTTAGAGTCATGAGTAGGTCGTAGGGCTTCAAACTTTGAAGTTTCACTTGCTGTAGTGTAGTTTTGTGGGGCAACGTTGCTAGCATCACATCTCTTTTCCAGCCCTACTACCGCCTATGTGAGGCTTACCACTGCGTCAACCAGAAGTCCAACATACGGACTACGTACATGATTGGTGAGCATTTTTGTCGTTAAACGACTACTGCTCTCACAAATAGTCAAGATTTCTCATTCCTAAGTTTTAGTTGCAATAATTTTTCTTTAATATCTCGTATGTAATCAGCTTTAGTCTCTCTTCATGTACACCATCAGCAGTATATTCAAAAGATTTTAGAAATTCAACCAACTTCTAAATATATAATCATATTCTTATATACATACGCCTGATTTAATCTTAAATCAAGCAGAAAACCTAATAAATAGATTAAAATCACATTTCTGATTTTATTTAGAGATTTTTTCATCTACATCCCTCAGAATTTCATTACCTAGGCAACAAACAGATAAACTAGTCAGCATTACAGAAGTAACATAATTTGAATGTAAGTCAATTTTCACAAAGTACACCTCCGACCAACCAACCAAACAACCAATCAACCACCCACATAAGCAATTCATGTGACTCAAATACTAGCAATAATCACCACCAACACAATTGTTGAAGGCATCAGTGTCTCCTACATTCCCCCTTGTCGCTACACACACACACACGCACCCTGAAACTAGGTGTGCAACAATCCAGTTTTCGGCTCCTTTATAAATAATATACAAGTGAAATAAGTAAGTCTACCATGTTTCCTGTTGAAAGCAAAAATCATTGATGCCAGGATTATTAACCTTTATACGCAACAGCAAATCAATCAATCAGTCAATCAGTCAGTGAATCGTGAACTGTTACTTATTCAGTGGAAACGTCAATCAAATCCAAGTTCATCGTCCATGCATATACATATTCATATATATGTATATGATATTGGTGTGTCAGTTTCCTGTTTCCTTAGTCTCCAACATCTAACCTTCTTCCTCACTATTTTGTGAGGTAAACTATTCACACAATGGTGTACAGATGGATTCATCGGAAAGCCTAATCCAAGTGTGTTTATCATAAAAGCTTCATCTGACATAAAATGGTAAGACTTCCTTTTTTTAAATTATCTATCAGAAAAACCTGTGGAACGCTGATTAACGATACCCCCTGAATTCCCTTGCTGTTTAAACAAAAACCACTTGGAAACAGGTTGAGTAACAGAGCATTCCTGATGCAATTGGCTGCCTGTTGTAATACAAAATCACGAAAAATGCAATGAACAATGGTCTGCGAGGTTACCTTATAACCGGAAGGTCCTCCGTTCGAACTTTGGCAGTGGGTTCATACTGCCAATGAGTCCCAAACTAGGATGAAACAGATGTGCAGTACTCCCACCTCAGTTTGACTGGTTCTCATATCAATACATGGTTGATCTTCAGAAACAATCTGGCTATTTATTAGTAAGCTGAAAATATTTTTGAAAGTTTTACGTATTTTGTCATTGGAGACTGGGATAGTAAAGACAGGTAAGTAGATCGGTGTGGAAGTAGATTAGTGGACTTGTAAATAAAGTATGCTAATTCACAATTCTACACTTCGAAATGGCTGAGAAGAAGGGATTGATCCTAAATGGTCTAGCGGTGAAATAATGAAAAAGGATGTAAAGTAGGAAAGATGAGAAATAATTTATTTATGTTTCCTCATTAAAAATAGAATTTTAAGCAGTCTATGTGAGCGACATACAGTAAGCATAGCCAGTCTTTAATACTTTCCACCACTAACCAAGAATAACCCGAAATTCAACAAAATCAGTTAGTCATTAGTTATAGATTTTGTAACTGCGTCTACCATATAAGTAAAATCTTCTCCAGGGTTCGAGTCTCAGTGGGAAAATCAGTACTGGTACATATCCAGATGACAGGTCCCGAATGCGACGAAATATACATCCTGGATTTCACTACTAGTCGCTTCCAGCCAGAAATAACTTCACTATGAAAGTGAGACAGTTTGCAGAATCAGGTTTTGGATTTCATGAAGGCTCAGAGAAATCTACAGCCATTCCCAGTGTAATCAAAAATGAAGATATCTGACAAAGTACGGGTGCGGCGTGTGCTACTGATAAGTTTCGTCAGTAGTATATATATAGAGAGACTTTCATCAGGATAAAAATATCAGATAGGAGATAGACAGATTTGATGTCGGTGAAGGGGAATGATTCAGCGTTGCAGAGATACATAGGAGATGTGAAAGGAACACAAAGAAATACAATACGAAGGAATGGCAGAAGTTGCACAGCAGGGAAGATCTGAGCAAATGGTGCTTTGAAGATAAGGTGTACAAAATTTCGGTATGTCGCGATACCAGACTTTCAGTTAAACCCCAGAACTGTTTCAGTAACACAATAATTGATTTTTTGGCATTATTCTTTCATTTTTCTCTATTACATGTCTGTATCGTTGATAAGGCTTAGCAGTACATGATTTCAAGCCATGACTCTGCTATGCCCATTTGTCTGTCTTCAACGTCTCTTTGTTACGTTTGTTTCCACCACGGTTTGACTCTATCTGTAACTGAGATAGCACAGTTCACGATTAGTTCTGTCGCTCAATTTTCATGCATCTTACTTTTGTGTTGAAGATTTGCTTTAACGTCACAGACATCAAAAGTATTTACATAGATGAGTAAAGAGATTATTGTTACTATTGTAAATTATTTAAAATAACCTCATTATGTTTTAGAAAAAATTTAAATAAAAAGTTTCTGAACACCTAGCAGTCTTAGCCACAGCTTCTTCAGTAGAATTATTTGTGATTTATCATAAGTGGATTTGACTCAGTGCTCAAATTATTCCATGAAATTCGTGACATCTACAGTCTGGATACTTATAAACTTATTGTTACTAGCCTACAATGAAGGAAAACGTGTTAGCAGGTTAGTGACAAATCAGCAGGATATGTCGGTTATATCATAGTAACTCGAATACCAAATAAATATTCGTCGATATGCATGGGACAACTTTCGAATGGCCTAAATCAGGCCTATTCATCAAAAGACTACTCCGTGTTAATGCTTCGTAATTCCTTCTAAGAACAATCAATTGTATTCTGAAGCTAATTGGTAAACATTATTAAGTGAGTGTTTAAACTTTACATTGCGAATTAGCTGTTTATGAAGGAAATCCAGCACAAAATTTGGAAGTCTGTGCAACAATGGACAGTTGACTTCTTTAGGTTTCTAACGTCGTGGAAAATAACGATTTTCTACACATGGTATGGATGATTAAACTACCTAAAATCACATCTTCCTAATACACAATTTATCACCACTTAATATCACTTTATCATGGAATTACATAACTACCAAGGGTGAAGGAAAGTCTCTATCCGTCTATCTAGCCATCCGTATATCAGTCAGGTGCACGTAACACACAATGAATGACGAGTTTTCTTTACTTTTGCTGCAAATATTGCAAAATCCAACCTCTAGTTCACTGTTCTGTTAACTGTCAAAATTCCATTGGCAGATCACCTTGTTGTGAGAGCAGGCTGCAAGCCGAAAATTTTAGACAGCAGTTTACGTCTGTGTTACGTCCCGAATCAGGGTCATGAGAAAAACAATAATAAATATTAACCTTGAGGAACTCACCAACCAATCACAGCAGACTTAACGTGTGCAAATACGATTCGCAGATATGTGGCTTAACTTTATGAGAAACGGCCACTGGCAGTGCAGAATTACCTTCAGCAAGAAGACGACCAGTCAGAAGAGGTTGCTTCTCCACTGACAATAATGTACATAAAAGTCTAAAAATATCTCTTGATCTTCTCAATAAACGAGCTGTTGCTTGAACCTTGTCTTCTGTCGTTACAACCTTATTAATGGGCTGAAATACAATTGATTTTAGGGCTGATCACGAAGTGAAATCGTTTGGAGAAACATGTGAAGCCAGGAAGTACCGGACAGTCGTTTCGTCCTTCTTTGTGACTCCTCCCATGACACCACCGGGGACTAAACACAGGACATTCAAGTTGCAAGACAAGCTCAGCGGGTTAGTGGTTCTCCAAATGACTTCAGCTCGTGATCAGTCTTGCAATCAATCAAATCCTTGCAAGCCAACACCTGAAAATGTGAGCTAATCGGTTTGAAGAAATTCTTGCTACAATTTAACTCTGGAAATCAATTGATGATTAAAAACAGAGCAATCAGTTATCTCACTCGTATAATTTCAACCATTTCTGTCCGTTCTATTGTACCATTGCCATCAATGTCATACATTTGATAAGCCCATTCCAATTTCTCCTCTGGATCTCCACCAGATGTGATATTGATGGCGAGTAGAAATTCTTTAAAGTCTATCCTTCCTGAATTGTCTTTATCGAATGTTCGAAAAACATGTGTGCAGAATTCTTCAGCATTACCGTCTGGAAAGAAGCCAGAATAGACTTCAATAAATTTCTTTTTGCTCAACTGACCAGATGGACAATCACGCTGTATACAGAAAAGAAAAAAACAAAAGAAAAAGTAAACAAACACACAATATGATAACGATTCATCCGTTATCCAGACAAATCAATAATTTTTCTGATTAAAAATACTCATTGAACAGAGAATATTCTTCTCGATAACTTCATCATCACGTTCTACAGTTATATGCATCCATCATAGTGAATCAATGAATTAGTGTTATTAACAACATTAATGTTTAAATAACATTGAATTAATAATAATAATAACATCAGCGGATTACAGTTTGACGGCATCAATATGACAATACACTAAATGAATATCACACAGGCAAATTAGGAAAAATAATAATAGAAATTCATGAGTTGTTGTCTTCACCGAGGGTCAGAGCAGTAGTAGTGGCTGGACTTGCTTCTTTTGCACACAAAACACTGGTTGTTTCACGCGAATCGCGATCTCCCTTCCTGTTTCGAGTATGTGGTGCCTGGATGTTTCTGGCAATTTATTTAGTACACGGTAGTTGATAGAGAAGGATTCTTCAGTGCTGGCTTTGTGACTTTCTTCGACTAGGTGGTCTAATATTGAACTGTTGATGGTTTGTACCACACCTTTATTCAGCCACGCTGATAGATGTTCCCGAGAGAGTACGAAAAATCAAGTTCCTAGAGCAACGGTGAATATATTACTCGCTCCACAAGCGTAGTTGAGATGTTAGATACAATGATAAGTGGCTACTCTAGGTACGTCATCTTTCATTTGAGGAATCACAACTTGTATTTTGCCAGCATTAAAAGTTCTCTGAATAGATTTTCTCAACTAGTTAGTAATTATGTCACTCGGTACGTCACCCCTTGAATTTCAGTCGTATGCATTAAGGCTTCTTCTAATCAACATTATTATTCCCTTGAATTCTGAGTGGAATATAAGGAAGGATTCAGCAGCACACTTCCACTCCTCCATCTCATACTTTCCGTCATATCCAACTCACGCTTTCCCATTCAAGTTCCACTCGATAGTCTAGCTGCTGCGTGATATCATTCAGTCGCCCTCTCTGCGTCCAGTGTCCAATTCATCTACTTTTATTTCCTTCTGCATATTAATTGGGCGATAGGATTTCGGTTGTTTTTTTCCCAGGTTACTTATTCGCCTATACTTCCTTGTGAACCATTTCATGTTCAGTATCGTAGGTAGCTAGAGTAGCTGTCGATTCTAATCAACAATTATCCAGTGTTTGGATGATGTCAGTCTGTCCAGCGAAATTCTATTACTTGGCGTGAGTTGTTTCTGACTACTCATATCAATCAGTCAGTAGCGTATACCACTGGACTACTTTAATTACTGCTGTATTTCATTCAAGAAAGTTTTCAAAAAGAAAAAAAGCCAAAAGAGAATAAACAACTGTCAACTGTGATGCTACACGATATAAACATATCAGTGATATGGAGGCGTAAACAGTTTTGCAGAGACTATTTATAGTCCTGAACAATTTTTTTTATTGTAGTCGCTCACTAGCCTAATGGGAAAATGTTTTAATCCCATTTTGTGTATTTAGATCAGTATGCTGTAAAACTGATCAATCTTGAAATTCACTGAAATCCCTGGTAAACCAATACATGGAAACTAATCTTATGCTCACTAGTGACTGAATGTAGGACAAAATTCCTTGAAGTTCTGGTGAAAAGTGGTGATCTCTGGGGTCCACCGGCTTGGGTGTCGATACAAATATTAGCCAACACGACAGTGGTTGGCATTGGCGCGGTACATCCCGAATTGGTAGAAGTTTGAATCGAAGTGCTGTACATGACATCCCGTCCAAGAGTCTGAATGCTCAACGAGCTGGCCTTTTAACCCAAGGGCCTTGGGGTTAATCGCTGGCTGATGGGGTTATTGGTGAGCACTGCTGAAGACTCGCAATCAACGGCGAAATAGCTAACCAGTACTCTGTGGTTTTCACTGGTACGCTAAGTGATGTAATTTTGATTTCAGGGTTTCATCACGAGCTGACACTGGTTAGAGAACCATTCGAAAACCAGGGAGTACCACAGAGCTGTTTCGTCCTAGTTTGGGGCTCTTCACAGTACGCACCCATCGGGGTTAGAACCCTAGACCTTCTGGTTAAAAGGCGAGATCGTGGACCATAAAGCCACTGGGACCCCCGTGGGTGTGTACTGATGAAGAGTCCCAAACTAGAACGAAACAGCTGTCCAGCACTCATTCTTGATTGTCTTGTAAAAAGGCAAACTGACAAGAAACCAAAGTATACAATATACAGAAAACCGACACATTCCAACAAGTATTTGAATTTCGAATCAGATCATCCAATAAGAATGAAAGCGTCAGTAGCTTTAAATCTCGTTAACAGAGCTAGAAACATTAAAACAGATAACGATGAAGTGGAAAACGAGATATCCAATATAAAACAAATTTTTTATGGAAATGGTTATCCGAAAAGCTTCTAAATAACATTATCAAAAAAGGATGAGAGGGAAAAACAGAAAATTGAAAGATCTTGGGTGTCGACGGTAGTTATTCCATATCGAAAGGACACAGCTGAAAAACTGCAAAGAGTACTTGCTTCATATAATGTTAAAGTCTAGTTCAAGCCCTCTAATTCTTTAGAGAAAGCTTTGGTGAATGTGAAAGATATAGTTCCTAAAAATGACACCAAAAAACCGTGTTTATAGGATAAAGTGTTCAGAATGTGAGGCATGCTGTATAGAGGAGAGCAGTAGACAAGTGAAGGTCAAAGTGAATGAACACAGGCTGTCTACGGAATGTCCACCTAGAAGAGTCTAGTCAGCTGTAGCAATGCGTCCTATAGACAGAGGACACAAGATCGATTTCGACAATGCAGAAATTCTAGGAAGAGGCTTTCATTCACATAAAGAAAGACTGACCGCTGAAGCCTTGGATATTTTAACCACATCGAATGCAGTAAATAGGAGAGAAGGCATAGACTTATCAGGTGTATATGGTAGACTCTCGTGAAGCAAAGCAGATGAGAGAAAAAATACTCAATCCTTTATTATGACCAGAGTGAAATATTATCATGTTATGACGTGTTTCCCAAACAACAAACAACATGCACACACCGTCATACGGAAAAGTTGAAATAAATATTTTCACTAGAACAAGACATATAAGGGAACAATATTGTTTTCTGTCAGATTTTCTTCATACTTTACTCTAATTTACATAGATTTGAATATAGAAAATTTAATCAATTACGGTGAGTGTGTCAGTCAAATAATGATAATAATTTTCGAGAGTTGATCTGTAAGGGTTGGATTTGTTTTCAAGTATGACCAAGGATTGATATCAGATATAGAACCATTAAAAACCTGTCAGGGTGTACTGGACAGCTGCTGTTTCATCCTAGTTTGGGAATTATCGACAGTATAACCCCACTACCAGGGTTCTTGCCCATGACCTTCATGTTACAAGGCAAGGTCGTATGCCATTCAGCCACTGGGACGCAATCCAATGGCTCATGAATTCCAACTTCTACCATTTCGTGATTTAGCACGACCACCAACTGACATGCTACTGACATGCCAATGTATTGTTGTAATAATGAACTGTTGGTTTCCTCAATCTATGTAGAATTCTATTTATTGATAATGTACTAACTGGATGCAATACTGTAGTAAAAATGCTGAGAATTCCATTCTGTATCACAAGTACTGTTTTGGAATAAAGCAAATTATTATTATTATTATTAAAAAAAAAATAATAATGTGTTAAATGTTTTGAATGTCAGTAATAACGATGATAACAGTGATGACAAAAATAATAACAATAAGGTTTCTGCTGGTGGCGATAATAATAACGAAGGTAGTATATATAGTCAATTCAATCAATAAATTAGGTCAAACCTTAAAGTTTACGTAATACTTAAGGTAAAGTGGACAGATAATCAGAGTTTAAATAAATATCATAGAAGTGCGAAAGAAATGGAAAATAAGAAAGGGTAGGAGGGTTTTAATTAGAATTTACCTTGGTCAAGGAAGAGACAAAGGCAGCACAAGCTTCTCTCGAACTCCCACAGCTTCGGCTATGTGTGTAAAAGGAGGGTTCCAATTCCGTTCCAAAGGTTCGACGGAATTTGATCGATAACTTTGAAGGCATTTCTTTTGTCCACTTGGTGACCACTACCGTCAATCAAATGGGACAAAATAGAACACCTTATAGATTTTACCTGACCCTTTCCAAACCATGAAGGAAGATGTATTCGGTCGCTGGAGGTACTCTTGGCAGATACTACTGAAGATTTTCAAACTAGGACGAAACAATTATGCAACCATCATCTCCAAAAATCCGACACTAGATTAAATCAGCTTGAAACACTGGATTGAACACTGGGCAGTAACTATTATCATGCATTTAGTCCTTTTTTGATGCAGAATGAATTCTATCAGTAAAGTTTACGATTTGGCCACGATGCTAGGTGGCTTGCCATCATCGTGAACTCTCAGTTGATGTTAGATGGTTGTTTGGAGCAGTTGGAAGAAAGCTTTGGACCTAGGTTTTGAGCACATCAGAACTCGTGAATATGATATGACCAACCATCGTTACAGTCAGAGGTGCTATTAGTGAGATATTCGGGCTAACGACTGACCTCCTGTAGGCCTGTAATGGACACTTTCACTGGGCACATAGTAGCAACTAAGCTATAATTGACTGCCACCCTTCCACTCATTCAAACAGGTTGAAAAGAAGGCACAGCAAATTTGTTTTACTGTGATTTATATGCTCATTCGTTGACAGAATATTATCAGAATTAAATGAAGTTAGATTACTATTGTATTACACATACAAACAAACATTATTTAGAGGTTATTTGAATTTTTTAAAAGTAGTATGATCTGATAGAATGAAATTAGATGCACGTCTTCTTTTCTCTCATCGTTAGGTGATTATCAAAGTTGGACAACTATAAAGAATAACGTGCCTACTCAACGACTTACCAGATGACCTTGAAGAACCAGTCAGAAAAACATCACAGGATAGGAAAACACTCCTAA